AGCAAAGTAAATTGAACTATAGAATAACACAGACCATGGAAAGTGAATGTAGTCATGCAATTAGACACAAAACATCCCACGTTTCTCGACTCCTGGGAGGATGTCCCGACCTACTGGAGCATCTCTGCTTTTAAAGACCCTAGGTGGAATGCTGCACAATTGCACCACTGGAAAGGTTGGCCAAGGGTTTCTTGTAATGGAACTACAGAGGACACAGCGTCCTTGATAACAACTTGACAGCAGCTATGATTTGAAGGATAGGAAATTAGCAGTTACAGTAAATCAGTTAATAAGCACACTCTTCCTACAGAAGGTTTTTTCTCTTGGATATCTGTTTTGGGAGCTGAGTGCTTGCACAGTTAGATAAAATATCCTACCAGCAGGACAGTAACATGACCAGCACACTGCTTTGGAGACAAGATTTCATATTCTGGAGGGATGAGCACCATCCATCCTTACAATGTGAGCCAGAATCTGTGTCACAATCAGTTTAGAAAACACAGTTGTGGTGGGGTATGGCAGTCCTTCGGGTATTGCTCGAGGAGTGAGTGCCTCTGGGAAGCATTCACTGGTATTTTCACTGATTGAATCCACACAAAAATGTGAGCAGCATTTTTTTTCTGAAAGATACCGTTAACTTTACCAAGAAAAGCAGCTGATTAAATCAAAGGGAAGTGCTTTTTTAAAAAAAAAAAAATAAGGAGTCTGAAGAATTGAATGACTGAGGGTATTTAAGATGGGCTCCTCCTACTCAGATAAAAAAAAAAATAAGGAGAATTTGAAGAATTGAATGACTGAGGGTATTTAAGATGGGCTCCTCCTACTCAGAGAGAGCCAGAATCTGTCAGAAATGATGTTGGGAGAGGAAGAAAAGAGATGCCTGCAAGTAGCCTGACTGTAGAGCATCCATGGTATTTTTGCAGTTCATTTTCTGTCTCTCAAGGAAATGTAGTATTGTGATGATGAAGTTCACAGGGGGGAGACATTAATTGGGCTGACTTCATTTGGAACTTACCCCTTTTATAACTCTGGGTTTCTGCAGGTCATGCCCTTCACTCTGCAGAGTGTAGCAGAACTCCATGAGATTTCACACAAGGATGGAGAGAAGAACTTTGGTGAACCCCAAAGTCATGCTTCGAATCCCTGTCAAGACTTTGTAAGTTATATACACAGATAAATACAAATTAAGGAGTAGGTTTTAAAATCTGCTTCCACCTCCTCCCTCCCACACACACCTTGCAGTTAGGTATAAAATATGCACTTAGTCAAATACTAACCTCAAAATTAGGCTTTTTGAGACAGGAGCTTTTAAATGTATATATATATATATTTATATGTTTAGAGTGGGTTAGTACGGATTGTACTATAATGTAAATTTAATACAATCTCATACTCTGTTTCTGGGGTGGTCAGTGTCTGATGAAACAGACACTTAAACAATATTCAGTTTAAGTCTGTGCATGAGATATTAAGAATATATTAACTTGTAAAGCTGTGAATCTTTGTTTTTTGCTTGTTTTGTTTTTGAGACAGGGTTTCTCTGTGTAGTCCTGGCTGTCCTGGAACTTACTCTGTGGCCTTGAACTCACAGAGATCCTCCTGCCTCTGCCTTCTGAGTGCTGGGATTAAAGACTGCAGCATCACTGCCTAGCAAGCTAATAATTTCTTAAAGGAATTCATGTAAATGCCTTAAATCCTTATTGAAAGAGAACAGATTCTGTGTCTATGATTTTTTAGCACATTTCACAGGGGACATCAAAGCCTTCCCATGGAGAATAGACACATTAGCTGCCAGATTTTCTTCCTACCATCATATAGTCTTTCTTTCTTTCTTTCTTTCTTTCTTTCTTTCTTTCTTTTTTTCTTTCTTTCTTTCTTTCTTCTTTTCTTCCTTCCTTCCTTTCTTCCTCCCTCCCTCCTTTCCTCCCTCCCTCCCTTCCTTTCTTCCTTGTTCTGGGAACTGAACTTAAAAACTCATGCATGTTGGCAAACACTCTTCCAATGTGCTGTCCCCTCACAGACTATTTGTTTTTATGTGGCTTTTTGTTTGTTTTTTCAATATAGGGTTTCTCTGTGTAGGCTTGGCTGTCCTGGAACTCACTCTGCAGACCAGGCTAGGCTGAACTCACAGAGATCCACCTGCCTCTGCCTCTCAAGTGCTGGGCTTAAAGGTGTATGTCACCACCACCTGGTTGACTATTTGTTTTTTAAGAGTCCTATAAAATATATGTTGGGAAGCATTAAAACATTCTGGACTAATAAAAGGTTTTGGTGGTAAACTTCTCTGAGTAATACTAATTTTAGTTTAGTGTCATATGCTATTATTTCATAGCAGTATTTAATATATTTTGGAGAAAACATAATAAGCCATATTTCTGTGTTGGGTGAATTGGTTTTAGGGCCACATTGTCTTCTCCAACTGGCCCTTGTGTTAGATGATTCTAGCCATTCTGGCCCATGAGGCTAACTCCATTTCAAATAATCTTCAACCAATGAGCTCCCAAATATTTCCAAACCTTAAGAAGTGACACAGCCCACATCCTACTGCAAAGCTACTCTGAATAAGCTGGTTTTGACATTATAAAATGAAAAGTTGGGATTACATGTGTTTGATAAATAAGATCTGTACTTGCTATGCAGACCAGGCTGACCTTGAACTCAACAGAGCACTGCCTCCTTTGGCTGCTCAAGTACTGGGATTACAGGCAAGTGCCATACTCCTCACGGACATACCCAGAAGTTTGTCTCCTGGTCAATTCTAAGTCCTGTCAAGTTAACAATCAAAATTTACCATGCATAAAAAATAACATAATATTTTAAAGGGTCTGGGAAGTGCCTCAATGTATAAAGGTACTTGCTATCAAGCCTGGTGCCTGGTTTGATCATAGAGATCCACATGGAGGAAAGAAAGAACCAAATCCTACAAGTTGTCTTCTGACCTCCGAGCCCCCACCCCCAACGCACTTAGTCCCTGGCAAGAATGTCCTCTGACAGTAAGACAAAATAACTAAAAAATTAAAACTTAAGAACATTAAATATAACACTATCCAAAATAAAGTGATAGAGATATAAGTTACTCAGGACTGGACAGATGGATGTATGGGTAGATCAATAGAGGAAAGCTTTTACACCCATGAGGCTTAACAGGAAAGCATGGTTAAGTCTTGTGGGTTTTTTCAGGGTTCAATTATAGGAAGGACATTTTAGAAAAGCCATTAAGGTTTTGCTCAATTTCAATTTGCTAAGTTGATAAATATTTATGAAAATCACCTGGGCACATGCTCCGTAGCATCTCCCTTAGTAAGCAAGCTCCACAGTTTGACAGAAAGAAGAAGAAAGTCTCCTGCCTGCCTGGATAAAATAGTATTAGATCTGCCAAGTTAAAAGAATCTCCAGGAAGGATGATATAAAAGTGGCATTTTATTGGCTAACATACTGAACTCTTTGAAACTGAAATATTAACTCAAAAGTTTACCCCAAGGCACAGAAGTTATTCCTATCCAGCCACAAATGATTCTTTTCTACAAATATTGTATAGCATAAAATTCTAAAATACAACCTGCTTGCCTGTTCTAACTACTGCCCCTCTGGCAAATAAAGTTGATATCTATGGGGCACTGGCCATATATTACAATTATAGTATAATCTTCAAATTAGTAACCAGTGGCTCCGGAGCAGGTAATAAACACAGTGACTTATCCCAGATACAGTAAATGCATTCGGGGCTCATTAAGTGGTGGGCTGGTATCTATTGATTATTTCATAAAGTAGAAAACAAATCTAATTTGTGTTGGCTATCGCTGGTGCCACTAACAGATGAGGGTTCCCTCTTTCAAATTTCCCATGAGTTCAGACAAAGTTAGCGGGAACCATTTACATTAATTAATAGAGGCTGTTGCTCAGATTTCCCGGAATATCTTCGAGCTTACAAATGATGAAACCACTTCCTGATTCCTATAACACGTGTGACAAGGTGCAAGGCAGGGCAATCATCAGACACGGGATGAAAGTGCATTTCAGAACACAGGAAAAAGGCACAGGAAGAGAAGAAATTGAATCTAGGATTCCTGAATACTGACATGGGGTGGGCGTTAGTACAAAGCTCTTTAATGTTTCAGAGCTGAGAATGTAGCCATTTCAGCAGTCAGCAGTCCTTGAGCCTTCCGTATTTTTAAATGTTTATCTCTGGTCATTTCTGTCACAGGCAAGATATGCATTTAAAGAACCAACCCTCCCCAGGTAGTGGTGGCACACGCCTTTAATCCTAGCATTCCCGAGGCAGAGGCAGGCAGGTCTCTGTGAGTTTGCAACCAGCCTGGTCTACACAGCTAGTTCCAGGATGGCCAGGGCTACACAGAGAAACCCTCTTTCAGGAAAAAAAGAAAAAAGAAAAAAAAAAAGGGGGCAAAAGAAAAAGAACCAATGCTTGCGTGAGGAATACAATTCCACCCTAAAACACACCTTGAGTTTAAAAAATAGATTTGAAACTAGGATCTCTTAATAGGATCTCTTCCGAGAATGCTTGTGCACATTTTGCTGACAGCAAGAGGTGAAAGTGGTGAGGTCGTAGCCACACACTGACATCAGCTCCATGAAGCAGAGTGAGAGCTCAGGGAGTGAGAGGGCGGGTCCTGAGGGAGACTTGCACCACACAGCTGTGGCTACAAGAGTTGTGGTCCAACTGTGCTGTGCAGGCTTTCTCTTCTCGCTCACCTTCAGGTCCAATCTCGCTGCTTTAAGCCTGAATAAACAAGATTAGGCAGCCCCCCCTAAATGTGAGATCCTCTTCTCAAATGACTGGGTGCTGTCCTGTGCCCTTTGAGCTTCAGAAGAGAGAAGGAGGTAGCCTACTGAGAGCAACACTGGTTGCCGAATGAGCCATCTTTCTCTTGGTAATGGGACTGGGCTTTTCTTTTGCAGGTAGCTCGCTCACAGAGACTCATCCTGACCCCCCTGTCAGCCTTGCTGTCCTTATTCCCAGGGCCTCAGAAGCTCATCCAAAAACGCTATGACAAACTACTGGACTATAACAGCTCCCTGCCTCGGTCAGCGGCCGATGAATCAGACTTGGCCAAAAAGGAATATGAGGCCCTCAATGCCCAGCTTGTGGAAGAGCTCCAGGCATTCAACCAGGCCGCCAGGAAGATCCTGCTCAACTGCCTGTGTAGTTTCATCACCCTCCTCCGGGACTTGATGCTGATGGCTCTAGAGGCTTATTCCACAGTCAAGCTGGTGAGCATAGTGCTGCCCTTGGGCCACCTCAACTTAATTCCTCATTCAGAGTGTGCATGTGTGGCCCTCATGTGTTGTTAAATATAAAGTGGTCGGATGTCCTTCTGCATTTTGAATCATATAGTTTTAAAGACTATGCCTGCACACGGCGCTGTCCCACCATGATGATAATGGGCTAAATCTCTGAACTGTAAGCCACCCAATTAAGTGTTTTCCTTTATAACAGTTGCCATGATCATGGCGCCTTTCACAGCAATAGAAACTGTAACTAAGACAAAAGCTAACCACAAGAAGAGTTTCCTGAGCCATGAGGCAGAAGTGAATGCCTTTAATCCCAGCACTCAAGAGGTAGAGACAGGCAGATCTCTGTGAGTTCTAGGCCAGCCTGGTTTACAAAGCTACACAGAGAAACTCTGTCTTGAAAAAAAAAAGTTTCCTGGTCAGTTCAAGATTTATTTCTTTGGGTCCTGCCACCAAATGCGTGATACAGCCTTTACCTGTGGAGGGCAACAAAGCAATGACAATGACCTGTATT